TTATGAATAGTATTATTACTAGTATTGTTATTATTATTACTATTATTATTAGTCTTAGTCTTCTTATTGTTCTTATTATTATCATTATTATTATTAATATTAGTATTATTATTATGATTAATATTATTATTACTACTATTATTATCATTATAGTTATTATTATTAGTAGTAGTATTATTATTATTATGCTTATGCGTCTTCGCATTATTATTATTACTAGTATTAATATATGTCTTAATATTATTACTACTATTATTATTACTAGTAATATTATTCGTCTTCTTAGTATTAGTCTTAGTCTTCTTCTTAGTACTATTATCATTCGTATTATTATTCTTCTTCCTCTTCCTCCTCCTCCTCATCCTCATCATCATCATCATCATCGTCTTCTTCATCATCATCATCATCATCAGCATCATCATCACCATCATCATCATCATCATCATCATCATCATAATCACAATAATCATCATCATCATCAGCATCATCATCATCATCGTCATCATCATCATCATCATCACCATCATCAGCATCATCATCGTTATCATTTTCATCATCATCAACATCATCATCATCATCAGCATCATCATCATCAGCAGCAGCATCATCATCATCAGCATCAGGATCAGCATCATCATCATCATCACCACCATCAGCATCATCGTCATCATCACCGTCATCAGCATCTCCATCATCACAATCATCACCATCATCAGCATCATTGTCATCATCATCAGCAGCAGCATCAGCATCATCAGCATCGTCATCATCAACATCAATATCATCATCAGCATCATCATCATCAGCATCATCATCACCATCATCAGAATCGTCATCGTCATCGTCATCAGCATCATCATCAGCATCATCATAGTCATCATCATCACCCCTTATCATCATCCCTCGTCACCATCATCCTCATCCTCAGCATCACCATCATCATCATCATCATCATCATTATCAGCATCATCATCATCATAATCAGCATTAATGTATCTCATCAGCATCATCATCAGCATCATCATCACCATCATCAGCCGCATCATATCATGATTAGCAGCATTCTGAATCTCATCAGCATCATCAGCATCACCATCTAATCACAATTCATTATTCAGCTATCGTTCATAATCATCAGCATCAGACATCAGGTCATCATATATCAGCATCAGCATTAATCGTCAGCTCACCAGCATCATCATCAGCATCATCATCAGAATTGTCTCAGCATCATCATCAGCAGCATCATCATCACCATCATCATCAATATCAGAATCATCATCATCAGCAGCATCACCATCATCCTTATCAGCATCGTCATCAGCATCATCATATTCCTCCTCTTCCCATTCCTCCTCCTCCTCCTCCGCATCATCATCAGCATCATCATCAGCATCATCATGCTGATGATGATGCTGCTGATGATGATGATGATGAGGATGATGATGATGATGATGATGATGATGATGATGAGGTCTGAGATCCCCTGGTGGCCAGACGATTCTTTACAGCGAAGCTGTGCGAATAGATTCTGTTGTGTGCAAGCTCGAGCTTCGAAACACGAAGCGGCTCTCGGACCGCTTCACAACGACCCCTGAAGGATTAATTAAAGCGCAGGGTGGCACGAGGGCGGGTGCGCTTGAATTGTTGCGGAGCAAGAACGGCCATGGAACGGATCAGCAACAGACCAGGACGATACAAACATCTGACTAGGTCTGAGATCCCCTGGTGGCCAGACGATTCTTTACAGCGAAGCTGTGCGAATAGATTCTGTTGTGTGCAAGCTCGAGCTTCGAAACACGGAGCGGCTCTCGGACCGCTTCACAACGACCCTGCTGTGCCCTACCTGGCATCTGGCCGCTTTATGCCTAAAAAGAGTCTGCTGAAGAAACCTTCTGAAAGCCTCGAGGCTCCAGAGGAGATCCAAGAGCACACCCAAGACGCGCACGGACGAGACAAGTGAATAAAAGGCGAGGGGGTGGGCGGGGTCGCATGAGCGTGGACGCACGGACCGCCGACTTCGTCGGGGAACCCACAAGAAAACCCCAGAGCCCACATGTTGTCGTGGTTAGCTCGTTGGCAGCCAAACGTGCACGGGGAGATCATCGCGCGCCTCCTGTCACAAATGGTGAGCAGCTGTCTAAAGAGGACGGAGTGCGCGGAAGCGCTTGCTGATGGAAAAATAGCAATGCAAGGACACTTTACAGTTAGGCATTTGTGAAGAAGACGGGCTAGAATATTGCTAGCTTCAGTCTCACCGAACCTGGGCCAAATCAGAACGACTCCCCGAACGCGGCGAGACGAGATCCATCCCACGAGGCGGCGATACACGATGGCGGTAGCCAGCAGGGAGCCGTTTATCCGCGCGCTGCAGCCCGAGATGCGGGCGTCCTCGGCCCGCGCGATCTCGCCCGCCCCGAAGCCGACCTCGAGGAAGGTCTGGCCAGCGGCAGCGCGGCACGCGCGGGCAAGGTCCTGCAAGGCCTGCCCGACGCCAGCGCCTCCGCCTTGAGGAAGCGAGGGCGCCGCGGCCGCCGCTGCTGGCCGAGGATCTGGCCGATGCTGTCCTCGACCTCCTGGGCCCACTCCGAGACCTCGACGTCGACCTTCTCGAGCTCCGCGAGGTAGCGCACGTGCCGCGAGTACCGAGCCGTGCTCTGCGCGCTCGTGTGGCGTAGACGCGCTTGCAGCTCGGCCAGAGGCATGCCCTCCACCGCCGTGGCGTGCGACGCCGCGGAGTGCCGCAGCTGGCACGGGATCATGTCGGGCGCACCCGGGACCAGCGACAGCCGACGTCGGAACTCGGCGCCGAAGGTCGCTGCGCTGAACGACCACAGGGGCGACCCAGCGGGCCGCGCCGCGCGGAGCAGCTTCAGGAAGCCCCCGCCGCCGCCACGCCAGGCCGCGCTCCGCAGCAGCACGCCCTCGTCCTGCGCGAGCGACTTGCTGCAGGCCGATCCCTCGATCGGGTACAGCAACAGCGCCCAGCGGGGCTCCGCGCCGCGGCCTGGGCCCACCAGCGCGTCGACCGTCATGCCGACGAGGTCGCTCGGGAGGCGGATCATCGCGTCCCACGCGAGCGCGACCGCCCCCGCCCACTCGAAGTCCCCCTCGAGCGCGGCGATCCCGATCATCGCCCACACGATCGGCTTCCCGACGGGCGTCATCGGAGTGCTCCTCGAGTGCACACGAAAGCCAGAGAGCGCGGCCCGCGCCAGCGGAAGGCCGCCGTGCTTCGGCCGCGGCACGCGCGGCAGCCTGTATTGCACGGACGCCAGCAGCCGCGAGCCCGTCTCCGCCAGCTCCCCGTCCCAGAACAGCTTGTCCAAGTAGGCCGCCAGGAGGGCGTCCAGGCGGTCCGCCGTGATGTCGTCCAGCGACGGCACGGCGGCCCAGGCCAGGAAGCTGGTCACGTGGTTGTCGAAGCTGCGGATGGTGGCCTCCCGCACCTTGTGCCTCTGCAAGAAGGTCAGCCCATGCCGAGGGTCGCAGTTGGCTCCGCCGAACTTCGCGGCTCTGAGCTTCGCCCGATTGGCCTTCTGGCGTGCCAACTCGACACGACCCGCCGCCTTCGACCGAGCTGGAGGCAGAGCTCCAGGCTTCGCGCTCGGAGGGGGTGTCTTGGTCTTCCCCGCCTTCAGAGGAGCGCGAGCTCGCTGCGGTCGTGGTGGCGGCGGCGGCCTCCTCCTCGGGGTCGCACAAGTCGTGTCGCCGACGGCGGAGCAGGCCGATCGGATCGTCGTAGTGGAGGCGCCGAGCCTTCTCGTCAGCGGCCGCCCGAGCGAGGCTAGCCCAGGCCGTGCCAACATTCCGCGGGTCGGCTGCAAAGGGAGTCGGCTGGCCCGTCACGGTGCGTGAGCCTTTGTCTGAAGTGTTCCACTCTGAAGGTAGCCATCTCACGGCTACGGACATATCGTGAATAATGCTGTAGCTGCACAACTCTCTGCAGGTCTGATTGATCAAAGGGGATGCGGAACGACCTTTTTCCACTCCCAGTACCAAAGAAAGGTTATTCATTAAGCATGAGGTCAAGATGACCCCGAGACCGCAAGGCGCGCATCTTGTGGCGCACGCCGAGCGCGAGGGCACGCCCCTCGAGCCTCAGGATGTTCTCCTCGCGGCACCAGCGGCCGAAGGTCACGTTCCGCCAGGTCTCCATCGGGAAGACGACGTCCGAGTCCACAGTGGCGAAAGACATCCCGTCGGACGGAGCCCCCGAGGTGTCGCGGGCGGCGAAGGCGAACTCCCGAGCGTGCAGGGCCCCCTCCACGTGGTAGCGCCACCGCTCGCGAACCCGAGCTGTCTCCAACACCAGCTGCTGGCTGAGCTCCCGCTTGGTGGCCCCGTAGCCGCCGTACAAGCTGCCCGCAGGGTCGAGGTCGCCCGTGCTAGCGTCGGTGGAGTAGACCGTCGAGTCCACGGGCCGCTTCGCGTCGTAGTAGGCGAAGGGCACGAGAGCGGCGGCGACTCGCAGCTCACGAATCACCTCGGGCCATATCCTCCAGCGGCTGTCACCCGCCTTCTTGATGAACCGATACGTCGACTGGAAGATGCACAGGAGTGGTCGGCGAAGAAGGGCCGCCCAGTTGAAGTGCCCGACCAGGCTGGCCAGCTCCTTTCCCGTGGCGTAACGCTGGGACGCCTGGCACAGCAGCGCCTGGCGGATCTTCCACATCCGCGACCGCCCCAGCGATATCCTTCCAGACTCTCTATCGAAGATCAGACCTGTGAACTTCTGGTGATCGCTCGGCGGCTCCATCTCCTTGCACTGGAGGCCCGCTGCGTTGAACGCGCCGTACACCGTCTCCAGCTGCGAGACGACCGCGTCGTACTTGGAGCCGATCACGGCGACTCCGTCGACGTAGGCGGCGGCGACGGTCTCGCCCTCGAGGTCGGGAATCACCTTCCTCTCGTGGACGAGTCTGTGATCGCCGATGCCGACGGTCCTCAGCATACCTTCGACGGCGTGCTGGCAGAAGAACAGGCTCCAGTTCCAGCCCACGGGCAGCACCTTCAGACAAGGCGAACACCTGCGACCGACGATGCCGTCGAGAGTGCCACTCGGCAGCACATTGGCAAGAGCACCGCGATCGATACTCGGAAGAATCATCAGCTCGCTCAGACCAGGCGGCGCAAGGAACCGATAGAAGGCTGCCTCGATGTCGCACTGACCGAGGAAGAGACTGCTGTCGGCCCCGAGCCGCAGGCTCTGCCAGCTGCCTGCCGTCGGCAGCTCGGCGACGTCGGGGTCATAAAACATACGATTGACACGCCGGGTGTCCAGAACCATCCGCTGCTGGCCGCTCCCGTCCCGCTTGGCGACGAAGAACGGCGCGAGCGTGTGCTTGCGCTCGCTGGTGAATTCGATCATGCCCGCATTGAACAAGTCGTGCAAAAAGCTGGCGTAGAGCTTCGGCGAGCTCTTCAACCTGGCGTCGAAGTGAGGTGGTACATTAGCAAGCCACTCCTTACGAGGGCGCAAGAGATGCTTCTCCCAGTCCTGCCACAAGTCGCGCACGGACTCCGACAACAGGTAGGCGGGCTCGCACTTCCTGGAGTCCGAAGGCACCGCCACGCTCCCTTCGGTGAACAGAACCGCCTTCGCTGGGGACATGTCGTACCCAGGAGAACAACCACGCAGCTCAGTGTAAGCCGCCGTGGGACTGACATCAGGAGGCCCGAACTCCAACAGGTGGTCGTAGAGCGACTCGATGCCAGCGAGCTGCGCCGCCGATAGCTTGTCGAACCCGTCGCCGCCCAGGCGCCCGTTGAGAAAGTTGAGCGCCGCGACGACCTCGCAGGTCCACAGCTCGACGGCCAGCTGCTGGCGGCCCCGGCTCCGCCGACTTCGGGAATTTGAAAAACATGCATTGTGGTGGCGCCGCTCGAAGTGCGCAGTCGCAAGGTCCAGCGGGATCGGAAGGACGTCCCGCTGGACCACCATGATCGTGAAGTTGAAGGGAGCGTCAGCTCCCCTCCCCGCCAGCGGTGACACCTCCACGGCCCTTTCCCTTGGGGTCCGCCCTGGGTGCAGCCGCCAGCTGCTTCTTCAACTTCTCGATCTCCGACTTCTGGCGATCAACGGTGCTCTGCATCCCTGAGAGGCGCGCCTTGCCGTCACCGCCGCCGCCGCCGCCGTGTCCGTCATCGCCCCGCGAGGCCATCCGCTCCTCCTTCAGCTTCCGCCGCTCCTTGAGAACGAGGCTCTCCTTGTGGAGCTCATCCGTTACGAACGTGAGCAGCTTCGGCGAGATGCAGACCAACCCGCGGGTCTCGCCCGTCCCGAGGTACAAGTGCGAGTCCTCGAGCAGCTCGTCACCTCGAGACGTCGTGAGAATCCTCTCGCGATGGCGGTACTCGGCCATCTGGAGTCGACGACACACCAGTTCTGCACACGACAGCTCGCTGGCATTGAGCTGGTCGTAGGTCAGCAGCAGGTGCATGATGCGGCAGCAGAGCTCGTGGACGGAGACGTCCTGGTCCGACGACGACAGCCCCGTCTCGGCTTTGAACTTGGCGTGCCGAGACCTGAAGGTCACGTCATTCTCGCGCACGAACTCGCACACCCACTTCACGGTGCGGGGCCCGCTGATCGGGAAGAACTCCCACTGCGTCTCGGTGAGCTCCGTCACGGCCTCACGCATCCCGAGGAAGCGCTCCGTGGCGCTGGCCCGCAGCGCGAGGACGCGCGCGTCGAGCTCGTCCCCGCCGTCGGGAGGAAGAGCCCGCACCAGCATCGTGCGGCCCCCCTTCATCGCCATGCCGAACCCCGACGCGATCACGAAGGCGTCCAGGTCCTCGTCGGGCAGCAAGCCCTTCCCCCCGCCGTCGCTCGAGGCGACGCATCGCCAACGCGACGGCGAAGGGTCTGGGAGGCGCCCGCGGCCAGAGCCCCACTCAGTCGGAATCTCCGCCGAGGCCAAGGCCGATCCTGAAGGCGCTCTCGCCGCCGCTGGCCTCTCCTCCGCCTCGGGCTCCTCGGGGGCTCCATCCGCCGCCGCCGCCGTCTCCAGCACCTCGTCGAGCGACTGCCCCAACACGAAGCGTAACTGGAGCGCGAAGGCCGCGGGGCTCATCACCCAGTCCCTGCCGTACGTGCCGACGCCCGCGGGGTTGGCCCCCTCTCGGTTGACCAGCTGCCTCCGATCCCTCATATCGTACGGCACGATGATACGCAATGCCTGGGCCGTCAGCTCGTGCGGGTAGACGTCTCCGTCGGGCGTCGCCATATACCACAACCTCCCGTCCTCCTCGGCCTTCTCGCTCGGATCCAGACTCGTCACTTCCTGATAGTCGGTCGGCGTGCACGGCGCGATCGCGATGCGGGCCTGCATGCTCTCGCCGCCGCGCCACTGGATATCGAACCGCTGCCCTGCTCGGACTCGGAACGGCATAGCGTCCGACGAAGACGCCGAGGAAGAAGGACGCGATGGAGAGCAGGGCCGCTCCCCACTTCAGCGAGCCGACGAGCCCGTACGCGACCGCGCACTCGGTCGCGTTGCCGAGGGTGCTCTCCACGAGGCCCCAAGCCTTGTCGGAGACAATCCAGGCGCCGACGCGCGCGAGGCCACCAGCCACGGAGGACAGAGGCATGAAGCGGCCGCTTTCTCTGTTTGCGCTTGAATTGCTGCGGAGCAAGAACGGCCATGGAACGGATCAGCAACAGACCAGGACGATACAAACATCTGACTATGATGATGATGATGATGATGATGATGATGATGATGATGATGATGATGATGATGATGATGATGATGATGATGATGATGATGATGATGATGATGATGATGATGATGATGATGATGATGATGATGATGATGATGATGATGATGATGATGATGATGATGATGATGATGATGATGATGATGATGATGATGATGATGATGATGATGATGATGATGATGATGATGATGATGATGATGATGATGATGATGATGATGATGATGATGATGATGATGATGATGATGATGATGATGATGATGATGATGATCAGCATCATCATTATTATCACCATCATCCGCCTCCTCCTCCATACTCCTGGTCCTTTTCGTCCTCCTCGATTCTCCTCCTCCTCTTCCTCCTCCTCCTCCTCTTTCTCCTCCTCCACCTCCTCCGCTGATAGGGCGACGAGATCTACACGTATCCTAGGCCCAGGAGCGGTGTATAGGCCCTTCAGGCCTGGCCAGGGTGGCACATACACCGCTCCTGGGCCCAGAATGGCCCCGGCCGGCGGCGGTGGATATCTTTAGATCTCGCCGCCCCACGAGTCTGCCAACGCTTTTTGACGGGCCCGTCTGTGAGGGGCAGCGACAGGGTGGGGCGGGGGGGGACTGGCACAGGGGGGGAGGGAGGGGAACACCGACCTGGAATCGGCGACACTTCACCGACGGATCGGCGCAACCGCACGCTCGTGGGCGGGGTGGATCCGTCGGGCCCCCCGTCGGCGATGAAGGCGCGAGTGGAGAATGGCGCATCCGCCCCCCCCCCCCTGAGCCTGCCCCCCTGAGCCTTGGATTGTCAGCAGCGCGAGCGAACGGAACAGGTCGCCGCTGCTCCACGAGGTGGCGTTCGGGAGAGGCTCCTTCAGCCTCGAGACCGTGGTGCCCTTGCCTGTGCCGGAGAGGCCCTGCAAGGTCACCACGCACCCCGTCGCGGGGGCATCCCCGAGAAGCTGGACGATCTCGCTGGAAGAAAAGAAAATTGCATAAACACTGGTTTGGGAGCAGCGTGACGTTGCTCCTGAGTCTTGGATTTTGACGGTCCAGTCTTCGCGGGAGGTCTGCAGAGGGAGCTCGCGCCCGATCTCGGGCTGCCCGTCCGTCTGCGCCGTCTTTCGATCCGGACCGCTCTTTGAGGGCCCCGGGGCCCGAAACAGAGCGAAAACTCGAGTAGGGGATCGACTACAGAATTGATTTACCCCAGACTTGAACTTTTCGCCGGATCTACAAAAGTACGTAAAATGCTGCGTAGATCTAGAGATTTCTCGTAGGTTCGGCGGGAAGTCAATTCTGGGATAAATCAACTCTGTACTCGGTAGTCGGTCTCCTACTCGAAAAGCGACCGGTGTGAAAAAACATCCAACGCCCGGATCTGAGGTTCCCCCGACTCCGAGTCTCACGTCCCCCGAGCAGAGCGCTACCGCGCGAGACAGCAACAAGAGCTCGGGGCTCGGGGAGCTTGCTCTGAGACTCGTTTCACCGATCCCTACCTCCACTGGCGTGGCCTGGGCCCCACTGGCCGACTTACCCCCCTGAATGGGGGCATGGGCTACTCCCTTCGGGCTTCGAGGAGTATATCCGCAACTGGGGTGCTGAGAGCGTCGGGCTCGGGATGGGGATGGGGATGGGGATAGGAATCGGGTAAACGACACCGAGTTCGGACGCTCTTGGCACCTGCGATAGTTAGGCCAATAGATCACGCTGTGGTTTTTTGTTGATGGAGGCCGATAGGTAGGGCATGCTGGCCAGCAGCTCCTCGCGCTGCCCCCCCTCTCGGGAGGCGCCAATCGTCCGCTTGCGCGGGGCCTGGCCAGAGGCCGATCCAGGCCCCCTGGCCCCTCTTGGGGGCCGCCGAGGGCTTCAGGGGAACCTCCGAGGATTCCCCGTGTCCAGGCGCGCCCGGGGGCCAGGATCCTGGGAGGCACTGCACCCGCTGCGGCCTGGGAGGCGGTGCGCACCATGGGGAGGAGGAGGAGGAGGAGGGGGAGTAAGAGGAGGAGGAGGAGGAGGAGGAGGAGGAGGAGGAGGAGGAGGAGCAGGAGGAGGAGGAGGAGGAGGAGGAGGAGGAACCTCATGGGTCGGTTGCACGATACTGCAGGCTCGGAAGGGAGCGCCGAGGCTCCTTCGCGGGGGGGGGTCCCGCGCCCCGCTCCCGGGGGGGCCTCCCGGAGGCCCCGGGTGCGCTCGGGAGGCCCCCAGAGACTCGAGCAGGACATCCAGGGATTTCCAGGGATTCGAGCAGGCCTCCTCCTCCTCCTCCTCCTCCTCCTCCTCCTCCTCCTCGGGAGACGCCACGGGCGAGGGCAAGCCAGAAGGTGGATTGGCTTGGCAGCAGTGGTCATTCACGTTCAGAGCCTACGCTGGAGCCTTCGACGCATCGTGCAGAGAGGCTCTGGATTTCGCAGCAAGGAGGACGGACGAGGACCAGCCCATCAGTAACATCACGATGGAGCCCCACGAGAGACGGCTCTCGGCGCAGATCTTCTACGTGCTGGCGCTCACCTGTTGTGGGCGAGCGCTGTCAGTCGTGCAGCGGGTGCCCGAAGGATGGGGCATCGAGGCCTGGAGGCGGTTGTGTATTGAGTTCGAGCCGAAGCCTCTCAGCCGATCCCAGGGCATGCTGCAGCACTTGCTGGACCCTGTGCGTGGCCCAGACGCCGTCGAGAACATCTATGCCTGGGAGCGGAAGCTGAAGCAGTATGAGGAGCAGCCGGGCGACACGATGGCCGACACGATCAAGCTAGCGACGCTCAACAGCAAGCTCCTGGAAGGCAACCTGAGGACCCACCTCAACCTGCAGGCGAGACGCCTGCAGACGTACGAAGCGGCCAGGAACGAAGCGATCTCGTACCTGCGCGCGACCGCCAGCCAGGAGCAGGAGCCCGTGCCCATGGACCTGAGCCCTGTGACAGGAGAGCTGTACCCTATGACGAGGGGCGGCGAAGGCAAAGGCAAGGGCAAGGGCAAGTCAGGCAAAGGCAAGGACCACGACGGCAAGGGTAAGAACAAGAGGGTCTGCTTCTACTGCGCCAAGCCGAACCACACGAAGCAAGAGTGCAGGGTGTTCGCGACGGACCGCACGAATAAGGACATCAAGCCAGACAAGGCAGGACGATACATGGGCAAGCCAGTCGACAAGGTCACTGGCAAGCGTGCTGACGCCGAGAAGGGAGACATGGCAGCACTGACGGCGCTGTCAGGTGACGACTACTACGATGAGGCAGACGGGTTCGTCTTCGCCCTGACCGACGAAGTGATCGTGGTGGGGGACTGCTGCGCGCTCGAGAGCGACGAGTTCGACCTCCTCTTCGACACCTGTGCGGCGAAGAGTGTCTGCCCACCGACATGGGCCCCAGAGGTCGCTGTCGAGGAGTGCCGTGGTACGGTGCTCTACCAGGCGGACGGCAACGAGGTCGCACACTACGGCAGGAAGGAAGAGAGCATGGTGGACCAGAGCTCGGGCGAGCAGCTGACGGTGAACTTCGAGGCGAAAGGAGTGCGGAAGCCGATCATGGCGGCGAGCTCCCCAGTCGACGCGGGCTACGGAGTGTGGCTGTACGACGGAGGGAGCTACATCGTGAAGCCCAAGCATGCGAAGGAGTTGGCGACGGTCGTAAGAAACAGCGTCGGCAAGAACAGGTCCATCGAGTTGAGGCGGAAGAACGGCATCTTCATCATCCCAGCTCGGCGGTGCCCACGAAGCGGCGAGCTGTGTGCGGCGACGGAGAGGGACGAGGAGCCGAAGAAGCGCGCGAGGTTCAGCAACGACCTCGAGGAGAGCGAGGACGCCAGGCCCGCGCTCACCAAAGCGCTTGCGCATTGGCCGAGCGCGAAGGAGAAGGCTAGGCACGAGCTGACCCACTGCCCGTACCGCGCCTGGTGCAGGTACTGCTTGACGGGCCAGGCGACCGAGGATCCCCACAAGAGCCAGTCCAAGGAGTCGACGGTTGCAAAGCTCGCGCTGGACTACTGCTTCCTCGCGCGCGAAGGGGAGCTGCATAAGGCCAAGATTCTGGTCTTCGTGCTGAGGCCCCCTGGCGCCGTGGGAGCGACGCAGGTGGCGAAGAAGGGGATCGATGACGTTGCAGTCGAGTCCGTGCTCTTCTACCTCGAGGAGTGGGGTGATGGTGAGGTCGTGCTGAGGGCAGACCAGGAGCCAGCCATCCAGGCGCTGCTTGTGGAGCTACGCCGGCGCCGAGTCGAGCACCACCGCACTACGATCGAGAAGTCCATGAAGCACGACAGCAAGGCGAACGGCGGCATCGAGGTGGTGGTGCGCATGGTGGAGTCGCTCACTCGCACCTACGTGGCCGTCATCGAAGACAAGTACAAGACCAAGGTGACGAGCCAGTCGGTGATCCTCCCGTGGCTGGTCAGACACTCGGCGTACATCATAACTAGGTTCGTTCTGAAGAGTGATGGTCAGAGTGCCTGGGCGACGATACGAGGGAAGGAGTTCACTTTTTCTCTCGCGGGTGTGGGCGAGACGGTGGACTTCAAGCTGATTCGCAAGGACCAGTCAAAGCTTGACCCACGCTGGGGGTTGGGTGGAAATCCTCGGGCGGAGGGACGAGAGTGATGAGATTGTCGTGGGCACAGCACGAGGGATCGAGTTCACCAGGTCATTCAAGAGACGTGATGAGAGCGAGCGCTGGATCCAGGAGGAGTTCAGGACGTTCATCGGCGTGCCCTGGAACCCTAGGGCCCCGACGACGGAGACCCCAGTGGTAAGCACGAGGGCGAGGAACATCACTCGCGCCCTGATCCAGGAGCACGGTGAGAATCCTGACAGTACGGCCTGCCTGGGGCTGTCCAGCGTGCACACGATCGCGTGCAGGGCTCGCTTCGAGGAGATCTTCAGGAAGCAGGCTGAGCAGCTGATCCAGACACGGCGGGCGAGCGGCGCAGGCAGCGCCGAGGCCCCGACCCCAGGACCTCCAGGAGGAGACCCAGGACCCCAGAGCCAGCCAGGACAGCCACAGGCCATCGGCGCACCTCCAGGGCTGGAGTTGCCTGCGGCCAGTGGTCCGAAGCGTGAAGGTGATACAGTCCACGACGGAGAGCCAGCGAGGAAGAGGCCAGTCATCGACGTGGCCCCCGCTGCGCCCATGGACACCGACCCAGAAACCGAGGCCATGACCCTCGGCGCGCTCAGCGAAGAGAAGGCCCCCGTCCCGACCTTCGACGAGAAGCTGTTTGCGAGAAGCTTCCACGACCAGTACACTTGGGAGGTCCTCCCGAAGGAGCTGGTGCTGGAGGGCGTGAAGCGCGAGCTCGACGAGATGGAGGAGTTCGAGGTGATGGTCTGGAAGAAGCGCAGCGAGAAGCCACCAGGCGAGAGAGTGATCTCCACCAAGCTCTTCCACACGCGGAAGGGGCCAGACTGCGTGCGATCACGGATCGTCGCGCGGGACTTCGCAGGCGGCGTCTTCGCACCAGAACACTATGCAGGGACACCTCCGACGTGGGCGCTGAAGCTGGTGATCTCGAGGCTGGAATCGCGGGGAGAGTCAAGGCAGCTTGCATCGCACGACATCTCGGTGGCAATTTTCCATGCGCAGCTGAAGGAAGCAGTCTGGGTCGAGCCGCCGAAGGAGATGAATTGCCCAGACTGGCTCTGGCTCGTGAGCAAGGCACTGCCCGGGATGAGGGAGTCGAGCGCTGACTTCCAGGAGCTGGTGCGGGACACGTACCGAGAGCACGGCTGGAACATCTTGTCGACGGTGCCCTGCTTGGCGTATCACAGCGAGTGGGACTACCTGTCGGGGTTCCACGGCGACGACTTCTACACCGAGGACGAGCCACAGCAGCTGGACAACTTCGACGCTATGATCACGGGGCGCTTCAAGGCCAAGATCCTCCCAAGGGTGGGGCCAGCAGCTGAAGACAAGGGTCTGGTCCTACGACGACTTCTACTGTGGAGCCCGAACGGGTTCATGCTGCTGCCTGACCCGAAGCACTTCGAGAACCTGAGCACGCTGCTGGACCTGAAGGGTGCGAAGCCGTCCCCGACGCCTGCCAGCCGAGCGACAGGCAAGAACGCACGAGACGCACTTGAAGGGCTGAAGCGGGCCGAGAAGGCGATCTACCGCAGGGGGACGGGCATATGCATGTACATCGGCCCAGACCGTTTCGACATCCAGTTCGCAGTGAAGCAGCTGGCATCGGATATTGGACATCCGACGCGTTTGAGTATGATGAGGTTACGGAGGCTGGCGCGCTACCTGGCTGGGACGCACGACGTTGGCATCGAGTTCCTCTACCAGGCGTCCTGGAACGACATCGTGGTGCACTCCGACGGCGACTGGAGTGGCGACGTCCAGACGTGCAAGCGCTGGCCACCTCATCGAGAGCTGGAATATCACCCAGGGTGCCGTCGCGCTCAGCAGCGCGGAGTCGGAGTTCTATGCGATCGGCTCGGCGGCGGCTCGGGGGATCACAGTCATGCAGGTGATGGTCGAGATTGCTGAGCTGGGAGCGGGCCTTCCAGCGGACGTGAAGCTGATCATCCGCACGGACTCGGACGCGGCCCGCGGCATGATCCACCGTGTGGGCTGCGGGCGCGTGCGACACCTACAGACACGCTATCTCTGGCATTAGCAGGCGCTGAGGGAGAAGCAGTTCGAGATCGAGCGAGTTGATGGTAAGAAGAACCCGAGTGATGCAGGGACGGAGGCGCTCGACCAGGAGGCGCTGCAGGCCTGCATGGTGAACCTCGGGATCGTGAGCAGGACTGTGGCAGGCTTCGGCACGGACGAGGCCGCCCAGGTCCTAGCGGCGCTGCTGCTGTGTGCGACGGCGCGGACCGCACACGGAGCAGACGCGAGCACCTGCGTGGCGGATGCGAGCCAGACAGAGACGTAGGCGTGATGATCAAAGTGTTTGTAGCGATCGTCCTGATCGCCGTGGGCTTCGTGACGGGTGTGCTCTACGAGAAGCACATGATGACGAGGGAGCGCAGCCACGCGCGCCCCGCTTCAACCCGCCTGCTTTTGGACTCAGGTGTACAGGCTGAGCCCAACCCCACCCGCTGCGAGGAGAAAGGGAGCCAGGCCCCTTGCACGTACGCCAGGAATCGTACTCACCCCGTTTCGTTCCCCTGCCGGAGCACTCGTGGGGGTAAGTAGGTAGGCTCCCGCACATAGAGCTAAGTGAGAGGAATTGGTGTGAGGCTGTCAGCCACAGCCCACTAGATGACATAGCTAGCTGCAGGCAGCCAGAGACATAGACCGGTATAACGCGTTTTGAGAAGCATGCTTTTACGTTTTCGGGCCCAGAGCGGATCGGACTGATCACCCGACGATGCCCTGGGGCCCCTCCTGCCTTTCAGGGAGCAAGTTGCTGACGACAGCTTGCACCCTCGGGGTGCCGCGCTGAGGAGGCGTGCAGACATCCCAGCAACATGCGAGAGATTGTGAAGCAGGTTGTCCGCAGCCATTGGCTTGTCAAAACATCCGTGCCAGGAACCATAGCAAAAATTTAAATGCTACGCAAACAAATACGTATAATGTTAGTAGATGTACGCAAATTGTACGCACCTGTATCGTAGACTCGACAAAAAATGTGGGGTAAATCGATTATGTAGTCAATCCCCCACTCGAGGGATGAGAGGGGGGGCGAGGAAAAAAACGCTGGCGTGCAGCTGACTCGGCAGATGCGTAGACTGGGCAAAACAAAAGCTCAAGCTTTTGGCTCGCGCCGAGGAGACTCGTCGGCGGCGCGCATATTCCAGCGCAGCACCGCGCAGCGCGGCGCGTGATCTGGCGGTGGCCGCACGGCAGCGGTTGATTGTTACAGACAGACCTTGGCGGTGCGCAGAAAGGGGGCGGCGGCGAAGTAGGCGGGCCTTCTGGGAGGGTAGCGGGCTGCTCAGAGAGACCCAGGGGCATCTGAGGAGGCTCGTGCCAAGGCGGGAGGCGTCTGAGAAGCCCCCCCATGCATCCGCAGTTGGCCGATCCCCTCACGCCGCCCATTTCCTGCGTACCGCTGGAGATTGGCGGCGCGATCCGGAGTGGCGCCGCGCGAATGACAGGTGGCGATCGCGGCCTGGATGAGGCCGCCGCCCAAAGAGCCGAGGCCTTGCGACGCCGACGCCGTCGGCTGCACCCATCTGCACGCCGACGAGGTCACCTGATGGGGAAAGCGGGGGCGGGGGGGGGGGCCAAAAAGCGGGGTGCTGGCTCGGGCGAGAAACATCGGCCCGGAATCGGGGATATATCATCGACAAATCGGCGATCGGCCCTCGATAGCGCAATCTCCGAGTGCCTGCGCACCGTGGGATGCCGAAGCTCTTTGCCCAGGACCAGCGTCTCGTCCTGGATTGTCTCGTGGGGGGAATAGGACCCGGGGGGGGGCACAAGGATGCCGGAAGCTGGGAGAAGACCTGACGACCTGTTGATACCCCTCATGACCCCGTTCTGTCCTCATGGCGGTAATAAAAAATTCCCCCCCCCCCCGGCTCCCGAACTCTTCTGGGGGTGCGCGTGCGCTTGACAGAACGTCGAAATAAATCCATCCGTGACGACGAGAAGCCTCCCTCAGGCCAAGAAGAAGAATGAAAACACTTGCGAAGGATCCAACCATGTGCTGCTGCGACTACCGCGAGGCAAGTGAGAAGAAGGGTGGGGGCGGGGGGGACGAAATTGGCGGGGGGACGCGTGCGGGCCATGCCACTGAGGCTTTCAGTGGGGCTCCCCATGGGGCCACAAAACGTGCGAGGGGTGCGCCACAATGAGCCGGGGGGCGCATGTGATTCCTGCCACTGCGGCCTTCGGTGGAGCCCCCATATGGGGCCACGAATCGCGCGAGGGATGTACCAAAATGCGCCTGCAGACGCATGCGAGTCCTGCCACTGCGGCCTTCAAAGGAGCTCCTTTCGGGCCACGAAACGTGTGAGGGGTGTGCCAAAATGAGCCTGGGGACGCATATGATTCTTGCCACTGCGGCCTTCGGCGCAGCTCCCTATGGAACCACGAAACGTGTGAGGGGTGTGTCAAAATGCGCCTGGGGGCGCATGCTACTCCTGCCACTGAGGCCTGCGGTGGAGCTCCCTGTGGGGGCGCGAGACTTGCGAGGGTTGTGCCAGAATCGGCCCGATGATGGTGATGATGCTGAGAATGATGATGACAATGACGATGATGATGACGATAATGCGGACATGCGGGGGCAGAGGCAAGGATGGGAGGCGGGAAGGGGGAGCGGGAGGAAGGAAGGAGTGAGGACGCGGGGCGCTGTCTCTTCAAAACGAGGACCGAATATTCCAGGATGGCTTGGGAAACAAGGCACAAATTAGCAGGACCCAACTATATGCCGTTGTGAGTTCCGTCGTTGTGAGAATCGCCTTCGGTGGATCTCCTCATGAGGCCACGAACCGCGTGAAGGATGTGCCGAAATGAGGCGGGGCCGCCATGCGGGCGATGCCACCGGGGCCTTCGGGCATCGCGAGGAAAATAAGAAGGAAGGAGAGGGGCCAGCAGCAGGGGCCACTGGGGCCTTCGGTGGAGCACTGTGTGGGCCACGAAACGCGTGAGGGGTTCGCCGAAGGGGGGAGGAAACGCATGCGGGCGCTGCTACTGAGGCCTCAGGTGGAACTCACCATGGGGCCAGGAACTGTGTGAGAGGTTCGCCGAAGCGGGGGGGTGGAACCGCATGCGGGCGCTGCTACTTGGGCCTTAGGTGGAGCTCCCTCTGGGGCCACGAAGCGTGTGAGGGGTTCGCCAGAATAGAGGTGGAACTGCATGCGGGCGCTGACACTGGGGCCTCTGGTGGAGCCCCCGTATGGGGCCATGAAACGTGTGAGGGGTGCACCGACATGGGAATGGAACTGCATGCGGGCGTTGCCACTGGGGCCTTCGGTGGAACTCCTTATGGGGCCACGAAACGTGAAAGGGGTGGAACCGCATGCGGGCGCGGCCCCTGGGGCCTTCGGTGGAGCTCCCACGAACCGTGTAATGGGTTCGCCGACATGGAAGGTGGAACTACATGCGGGCGCTGCCCCTGGGGCCTCCGGCGGAGCTCCCTCGAAGGCCACGAAACGTGTGAGGGGTGCACCGAAATGGGGGTGGCACTGCATGCGGGCGCTGCCACAGGCGCCATCGATGCAGCTCCCTATGGGGCCACGAAAGGTGTGAGGGGTGTGCCGAATTGGAGGGTGGAACTGCCTGTGGGCGCTGCCCCTGGGGCCTTCGGTGGAGCTTGTGTCACGACGCGTGCGCGGGGCGCACCGACATGAAGGTGGAACCGCATGCAGGCGCTGCCCCTGGGGCCTTCGGTGGAGCATTTTATGGGTCACGAAACGTGTGAGGGGTGTGCCGAAATGGAGGATGGAGCTGCATGCGGGCGCTGCCACTTGGGCCTTCGGTGGAGCTCCCTATGGGGCCACGAAACGTGTAAGGTGTGATGGAACCGCATGTGCCGAAACAGCGACATGCGGAGAATGAAGGCAGGGATGGGATCTGGGCTGGGAGGAGGGAGGAGGGGAGAGGAGAAAAGGAGGAGGAGGAGGAGGAGGAGAGGAACGCGGGGCGCTGTCTCTTCAAAACGAGGGCCCAACACCACAGGAGGCTTGGGAAAAGCAACACACAACTTAAACAAACCAAACACCATACATTCGAAAACAATACGATACCTAGACATGCATACATATATATATATATATATATATATATACATATATATATATATATAGTTCTGCTGGGTCCGAGGGGCTCTTTTTGGGGAGGCCAGAAGGGTTCCACCTTACACACTCTCTACTTACACCGCGCCTCAGGCCACACGCACGCCCCGGGGGCCAGCCAAGGGAGGGGGGCCCGAAGGACCGCCTGCGGCCCACGAGCGGCGGGCGCCCGCCGAAGGGCCCAGCAGCCACCTTGGGGCCACACGCGCGGGACGGGGGCCGAGGCAGGTGTAGGCCGCTCTCTACTGGAAAATTGCATAGCCAGGGTGGTCTGTGGGAGGGCCGAGAAAGCTATGCAATGCAAGTGCGGCCTCTTCCAAACCCCCCCTCTCCCCCTCGAACTAACACTAGAGAACTAAATTTATAGTTCTACTGGGTCCGAGGGGCTTTTTTTTGGGGAGGCCAGAAGGGTTCCACCTTACACACTCTCTACTTACACCGCGCCTCAGGCCACGCGCACGCCCCGGGGGCCAGCCAAGGGAGGGGGGCCCGAGGGACCGCCTGCGGTCCACGAACGGCGGCGCAAAAGCTCGGACCAAGGACAGGCCAACCAGGGCGCCCGCCGAAAGGCCCAGCAGCCACCTTGGGGCCGCACGCGCGGGACGGGGGCCGAGGCAGGTGTAGGCCGCTCTCCACGTTACTCCCCCTGGCTTAGCCGTGAAACACTCTTCCAAACCCCCCTGCACGCGACCTTCGTGAGACCTGCTTTTTGGGTTTTGGGCCCAAGGAGGCCCACCACGAGGGCCTCGAAAGGCCTGCCCAGCGCCCCGCATGGGCCTGGGACCCCAGGGAGAACGGGCCCCGGGCAACAAAAACAGAAAGGAGGAAGAGTGAAGGAGGCGTGAGGGTTGGGAAGAGGAGGACGACAGTTACATAATACAATGAGAAGAAACGTTACAGCGAGGCAAGGATGCTCGCAAACGCAGTGCCACGCTCTCTGAGGGCGCGAACGAGTTCATCGGACAGCATCTGTTGCGCCAGGACGGCGAGCCCGTCATTTATATAAATGCGGGCCGTCCTGCTGTCGTTCCAGCGCCCACGGTGCACCGTCCGCGCCATGTCGCCGTGAGCCAGCAGGTCGTGGGTAGCTCCTCCTCGCCTCAGCGAGTACGGCAGGAGCTGCAGCGAGCTGAGGCCCAGCGCGGCGCACCCCTGCTCGAACAGCCGCCGATACGCCACGCCCGTCCCCTCCAGGAGCCGGGCGCCAGGCCCACGCCAGCTCTTGAGCGCCTCCAGCGCTCTGCCCACGACGAGATCGTCGACGGTGATGATCTCCTGCGCTCCACGCCGCGCGCCGCTCTTGGACCATGGCAGGGCTATGACCCCGGTGCCCCTTGCACCGATGGCCACGTGTTCGAATGCCATACTGAACATCTCACCAGTGCGCATGAGGCAGTGGAAGGCGGCAATCGTGACGATGGCGGCGTCGCGGCGGCCCTGAACCCACATCCAGTGCCCCAGCGCGAGCAGCATGATAGAGTTCAGCGGGGGCGCGCGGCTGGGCATCTCGATCCGGCCCCACACGCGGAACAAGTCCCAGGCGCCCGGGAACACGCGCCTGCGGCTCAGGATGAACTGGATGCCACTGAGCGCGTCGCCGGCGAGGTTCCTGCCCTCGCCCTCTAGCCAGAGATGCTCCAAGTACACGCAGAGCTGCTCGTCTAACTGGTGAGGCTCCACTGCGAGCGGCCAGCCAGCCTGTCGCTGGCGTCGTACAAACATAGCAGCTGCACGATGATAACGAATTCGGGTTCGGGGAACAACACGTTGAAATCGCAAGGGCCCGAGCGCCCGCCGCGCCTGAGCCCGACTCGCTCGGTCTGGGTACAGCTGGAGCCGCCTAGGCATCTTCCTGCTGCCTGCGGCTCGGGGCGTCGGACGGGTTGTCACCGCTCCGACAGAACCCCAAGATGGCCACACTCCCGGAGGCCATTTCCAACGCTGCCACTTTGCGAGCCACGCGATTCAACTGTATGCTTCCCGAACGATGCTTGGCCAAGACAGCAATGGAGACCTGACTGTCCAGCAGATGCAGAAACTTGCATTCGAGGTTCTTCTCCGCACGCAGCCGCCAGCGGAGCGCTGAGAGAAAGGCCCTCATTTCCAATTCGTTGATGTGAGCCTCCTCGCGCCAGTGAAACTGCACCACCGTGCGCCAGCGCCACCAGCCAGGAGAGATGGGCTGCCGCGGCCAGCCCGAGGGATGGAAGAGCTCACCTGTCGACATGCGAACGTCACTGCCCTTGGTGCTGGTAGACCTCATGACGTCCAGCGCCAGCGCCTGCTCGGGGGCGAATCCGCGGGTGACGAGCGACACACTTTGCCTGGGCCTCGACCTATCGCGCAGCTCGTCGACGGACGGCGGCGCTGCGAGGAACCCCCACTGCGTGGCCAAGTGCCCGAGCAGCCAGGCCACCACCTCGACGTGGAACGCGTTGCCGAGGAGCCCGCACCTCACGCACTCGGCCTGGCGCGGGTCACTCTTCAGGACGCTGGAGGTGACAGCCACCTGCGTGTGACCTCTACGGTACCCCATGAGGACTTCGCGCTCCTCGGCCGACGGCGGGCGCAGCTGGCCCTCGTGCAGCACGCAGTGCCTGTCGATGTACTGGTAGGGGGGCAGGCTGAAGTCGTCGTCGGCCCACCTCGCCAGCGCCGCGTCGTCGCACTGGTTGATGCCAGCCGGACGCGGCCGGGGCTCGGACCGTCGGTCGCGCCCCACAGCCGTCGGCAGGCGTGCCGCAGGATCAGCACTCGCCGCCCACGTGGCACCAGGCGAGAGCCACCTCGAGGTTGGCCCGGGGTCCGCGTCGACCTTCACCTGCAGCCAGGCGCCCTGGTCGACCAGCGCGACGCCGCTTATCTCGCACAGCTCGAACGAGCACCAGTAGAGGCGAGGCCGTCGCATGTGGCACACCTGGCTGGCGCACAATCTGAGAGGCTGGACGCCCAGGAGCTCGGAGACCGCGGCGATGTCCTCCTTGTCCGCCGAGTCCACATTCTCGAAGAGGAACTCGCACTGCCAGGACTCGAACACCTCCACCACCAGGTCTAGGATGCGGATGACCTCGCTGATGAGCCCTGACCTGGGGTCCTGCAGGCCCTTCCTGGCGACGTTGAGCCTGCAGAGGCCCTGGCAGGGGAAGCCGCCGGTGACGATCAGCTTGCGGCCCCGGGCGCACCCATGCTTGATGGTGAGCAGCACCTCCTTCGAGATCTCCTTCACATCGCCCAGCTCCTTAACGTTCGGCCACGCATTTCTCGCGACACGCGAGGCCGTCGCATCGGTCTCGGCAGAGACGAACCACAGGGTCTCCAAGCCAAGGGCTCCCCAGCTCTCCCGCGCGCCGCCAATGCCGTCGAAGAGGCTCAGCAAGACAACCTCCTCCTCGCTGGCTTGCCACGGGACGCGGCCGACACGCTCCAGCGCCTCTTCGCCAGCACCGGAGAGCCCCCTGCTCACGCACACAGCGCCCCCGCTCGGGCTGGCGTCGGAGCAAGAGACGACAGGCGACACGTGCAGGCGGAAGTCGGTGAAATAAAGCGGCGCCAGCTGCATGGCCAGGAGCAGCTCGTCCATCACCGCCAACGGCACGGCCCAGCAGCGGTGCGAGCGGGACATCCACCTCCAGACCTTCTCGAAGCACGCCATGCCCGCGCGCTGGTGTGAGCAGACCCGGACCCAACGGCCCAGCACGATCTGCCAGTGCTTCTTATTCACACCGGGGCGTCCCAGGACCCACAAGGTGAGGGAGATGAGGCTGACCACGTAGCCGCGCGGCGCCTCCTTCCTCCCCAGGTCGCCGTCGATGTGGTCGCCCAGCGCCTGCACCTCGCTGGCCCTGAGCACGTCCTTGGCAGGTACGCCCGGCGTGCCGCACCGCGCATACGCCTCACGAGCAGCCAGCAGGAGCGGGCTCACGGTGCCCTTGAGCACCTCGCCGTCCTCGCGCGCGACAACCTCCTGCGCCTCCAAGTTATCGATGTAGACTTCCCAAGCCTCGACCTCCTGAGCCAGGGCCGTGAGAGGCGCCGGGCGATCACGTCGCCACTCGGCCTCCCTCGGCAGGCTGGCGGACAGCTGCCACCCTTGCCGCAAGATGTTGCGGTGGATGTGCTGAGCGATGCCCGTCGCAGAGATCCAGCCCATCGCTACCGTGGCGCTGGCAACGTACACGCCAGGCTCGCTCGGGCGCCCGACGAGCCGCCCTGGGACTGGGACCTCGAAGGCCATGAACTTCCTCCAGCAGGGCGGCAACCTGAACACGTAGAAGAAACACTGACGATCCGTGGAGGTCCATAGCATCATCTCGTGGGCGAGCAAAACGATCGTAGACCATTGCGACGACAGCGGCAACTGGTCCATGTCGCCGCCGACCACACGCTGCACGACGTTCGACGGGACGAGGTTCATGATGAGCCTGAGCACGTGCCCCATGGTGCCGTCCTTGAGCGGGATGATGCGCTCGGTCCCCTTGCGCACGCCGAACGCCCCGCACAGCACGGCCCGCCCGTCCACGTGCAGCACATCCTTCAGCGCGATCGGCTCCACGAGGCCACGGTCCCACAGGACGGCCACGAGGTCGTACCAGGTCTGCAGTGGCGCCCAGATCTTGGCGCGCGGGACCTGGGCCGGTCGCACGCCCTTCGGCGACAGCATCGCATCCGCATCGAGCAGCGCCTCGCGGACGTTCCCCTCGCAGAGATTCACTGCGTCCACCGAGGCCGCGATGCCCTTGGGCGGGAGCGCCGGCACCACCTGCTCCACGGACAGCGTCTCGGCCGTGCCGATCTCCTCGCCGTCGTAGGCCACGCGCTTCTTGGCCAGCTCAGCTGCCCAGTCCGTCGGCGAGAGCGGCGTGGGGCAACTCTTCAAGAAGAGGATCGCTGCCCGCGCCAGCCTCCTCACGGCCCTCATCTGAGCGGGGCTGGCCGGGCCTGCCAGCACACACCGCTCCTCCGACGCCGCGCAGTTGGCGTACAGGTGGTTCAGCGCGATGATCATCAGGTATACCCACTGCTTGGTCGCGACTAGCTGCGGCTTGTCACTCGCTCCGAATGCGACGAGCTCCTCATCACTCAACGCGAAAAAGGGGAGAGGGAGCAGGTCACGTTGCCTCCCTTCAGCCCTAGGAGTTGGCCCCCCTCCAACAGCTGTGAGCTCTCGCGCCACCTGACCAAGACGAGTGGGCAAAGTCCTGACCAGACCGAGTAGGACCTGCGGCACGTCCGTGGCGTCGCACTCCTGCACGCTCCTGGCGGCTGCAGCGACAGCGCGCGCGGGCCGCAGGTCAGCTGCTGCTGCATCCTCGCCTGCGCCCTGCCCGAGCGGGGCCGCGGCTGGAGGGCCTCGCCCGGATGTGGGCGCAGCACCAGGGGCAGGGGCGACGGCTACCGCCCGCGGCCGCGCCCGCGGCTCTTGCCACCACCCTTCGCAGGCCCGCGGCCCTGCCCGCGGCGCTTCGGCGTCGGCGACCGAAGGCGCTGGACCCAGGGCGGGAGACCCTCCGCGTCCGTGTCGCCCCCCTTCAGCTGCACCTTCCTCGTGGCGCCGTTCGCCAGCAGCGCAGGAGGATCTGCCGCGGCGCTCTCCACGGCCTCGACCTCCGGTGCGAACGCCACCCGCGGGCCCGTCGCCGGCGGCGCCGGCCGCGCCCCGTTGCTGGGGCTCGGGCCGCGCCTCGGCGAGGGCGACCGCCTCTCGGGCGACGCCCGACGCGGGGGGGCAGCTGGCGGCGCCGCCTCCGCGGACCCTCGGCCCCGGCCCCGCCCGCGGCGGCGGCGGCTGCGGCGGCCCGTGGAGGCGCCAGGGCGCGCTGGCAAGCCAGAGAGGGAGCTGGGCTCGCCCAGAGGGCTGGGCGAGCGGGCAGGTCGCCTCAGGGAAGGAGCGGCTCCTCGCTCCTCGCCCCCGCGGAGTCCCTAGCCCGCGCCACCTCGCCCCTGCGCCTTGGACCGCAGGTCCGCGAGCTTCGCCCTCATGAGCGCGTGGCGGGCCGCCGCCTGGCGCTCGGTCACGCTCACCAGCCCAGGCGTCTCCTCGGTGAGCTCCAGCTGGCTCGCCACGCCCCAGTCCTTGTCGCGCACGCTCGTCTCCAACGCCTTCAGCCTCTGCATCAGGAGGTCCCCGAGCTCGGGGAGGCGCCCCTGGAGAAGGGCGTCGAGCGCCGCTGCGACCGTCCTCATCTCCTTCACGGTCTGCACGCTGATCGTGGACTGGGGATGCTGGCCAAAGAAGATGCTCGTGAGATAGGCCATGACCCGCGCCGCGTTCGCCCCTGACGTGTGATCCGCCCCCTCCCGCTCGCCAAGGAAACGGGCCATCTCCGCAAGGCCGGCATCCAACAGGGCTCCGGGTTGCCCCCGAGCGATCTCGTGGATCCTGTTGTTGCCGGAGCCGGAGGGGGCATCGCGAAAAAGCGGCTCGCCGTCGCCGTCGTCGTCGTCGAGCAGCGGATCGGCCCTGCGCTGCCTCTTCGTCGCCACTGCAAACAAGTCCAGGCGCGAGCCAGCCTTCCTCTTCAGCGCATTCTTCAGCTCCTCGATCTTGGCCGCGAGCTCGCGCTCGTCACCTCCGCCGCCTGCGCCAGCCCCGCCTCCAGCGGCAGCAGCGCTCGGCGGCCCGAAGATGACCTGACGGCGCACCCACGGCTCGCAGATCCCCGACGACGCGCGCACGCGCAGCGTGTCCACGTGGTACACGAGGCGAGCACCAGCGCGGGCGCTGCAGGCCTCCCGCGCCCCGGAGCACAGGTGGACGAGGGGCGGCTGCGCCCACAAGTCGCCCAGCACGCCCGTAGCGACGGGCGACGACGCACCCGCGAACTCGGCGAGGCCGAAGGTGCCGAGCGCGTCCGCGGCCCACTGCAACCCCAGCTTCAGGAGGGCCGAGCCGTCGCAATTCCCCTCGACGTCGAAGGTCGGCACCTCGACGATCGCGCCCGGCTGCACGCCGACCTGCGAGAGGGCCGCCGGCTGCAGGCCCTTGCCCAGCCAGGCCGAGTCGCCAGGGGGTGCCAGCCCAGGGAGGCCCGCAGCGAGGACCGGCGCCCGCGCCGCCACGCCTGCCGCGGGCGGCACCACGGCCACGCCAAGCCCTGGCGGCGGCCCTCCAGGCGGCGCTCCAGCCGCGGCGAGCCCGGCCATCAGGTCCGCGCCGATGCCGCCAGCGGCCGCGCCTCCGACGCCAGGGTGGCGCGCCGGCGCCCCGCCAGCAGGCCCTGCCGCGCCGTGCTGCAGCCCGGCCAGCGCCGCCTGGATCCCAGCGTCCGTGAGGCGCACGTTGAGGCCGCGCGCCAGCTGCGCCAGCCCTCCGGCGGCCTCGCGCGCGTCGCCTCCTCCAGCCTGTGCCGCCGCGACGACGGCCTGGTGCAGGCCGCGCCCGCCGCGCCCGCGCCCACGGCCGGCTGCAGCGGGCGGCACGGCGCCCCCGAGCACGGGCGCCCCAGGGGGCGGCCCAGCGGCGAGGCCACCAGCGGCCGCTCCTCCCCACGGGGCGAACAGCGGGGCCCCGGGCGGCGGCGGGCCCGGCAGCGCGGCGAGGCCGTGCGCTCCTCGGCCGCCAGCCCCCCGACCACGCCCAGCACCGCCACCGCCTCCGCGAGCGGCGCCAGGCCCGGCGCCGCGCCCGGCACGGCCGCGGCCGCGGCCCGCGCCACCGCCGCCCCGCCCGCGGCCCCTCGCGGCCTTGGGCGGCATGGCGGCGCCTGCCCCACGCAGGGGCTCCTCTGCCCCCGCCGGGGGCGCGCGCGAGCGAGCGCGGAGCGGGAACCGCTCCTCAAGCCGAGAAAGCTATGCAATGCAAGTGCGGCCTCTTCCAAACCCCCCCTCTCCCCCTCGAACTAACACTAGAGAACTCATTATATATATATATATATATATATATATATATAATATATATATATTATATATATATATATATATATATATATATATATGCTTGCCCCCCCCCCCAGCACCCCCAAACGACGGACTGGGGAGGGGGGGGGTGCATCCTCCTCATCTTCGTCGTCCTTCTCATCGTCCTCCTCTCCTCATCCTGATCTCCTTATCTCCTTATCTTATCTCCTCCTCCTCCTCCTCCTCCTCCTCCCCCTCCTTTCCTCCCCCTCCTCCTCCTCCTCCTCCTCCTCCTCCTCCTCCTCCTTCCCTGCGTCTCCCAAGCCAAGGAAACCTAAAATGCATTGTGTATGGCGCCGTCGGTGCAAGGAAATGCTGTGTATTTTTGTTGTGTTGGTTTTTTTGGTCTGAGAAGCAAGGAAACGCTGTGTATGTTTTTTTTTTTGTTTTTTTGGTTTTGCAAGCCCGAATGCCCGCGCTGGCCTCCCTCTCAGCACCCTTCCATGCGCCTCAGACCAAGAAAACCAAACAATACACAGTGTTTGGCGCCCTCGGTGCAAGGAAACGCTGTGTATTTTTGTTTTTTTTTTTTTTTGGTTTGAGAATCAAGGAAACCTTGTGTATTTTTTTTTTTTTGGTTTTGCAAGCTCTAAGGGTGCTGGGAGGGAGGCTGGTGCGAGCGTCGGGGCTTCCAAAACCAAAAAAAAACAAAAAAAAAAAAAAAAAAAAAAAAAAAAAAAAAAAAAAAAAAAAATCCTTGATTCTTTTTATATATATATATATAATATATAAAAAAAAAAAAAAAAAAAAAAAAAAAAAAAAAAAAAAAAAAAAAAAAAAAAAAAAAAAAAAAAAAAAAACCTTGCACCGAGGGCGCCAAACACTGTGTATGTTTGGTTTTTCTCGTTTTGTTTTGCAACAAGGAAGAGGAAAGGAAAGGGGCTTGGAAAACCTATATATATATATATAAATAACAAAACACACACACACACACACACACACACACACACACACACACACACAAACAAAAAAACAAAAACAAAACAAAAAAAAAGAAAAACGTTTCCTTGCTTCTCAAACAAAAAAACAGCGTTTCCTTGCACCGAGGGCACCAAACACTATGTATGTTTGGTTTTCTTGCTTTGCAACAAGGAAGAAGAAAGGACCGCTGCGTCGCACCTCGCAGACCTATTATCGAGCACGGATTCATGCGCGTGTCATGCTGTTTCATGGCGAACAATTGTTGCGCCGTCGTCGTCGTGAAAGCACATCGAAGGGAGTCTATTGGAACCTCCTTTCCTTTCTTCTTCCTTGTTGCAAAGCAAGAAAACCAAACATACACAGTGTTTGGTGCCCTCGGTGCAAGGAAACGCTGTGGTTGTTTTTGGTTTGAGAAGCAAGGAAACGCTGTGTATTTCTGTTGTTGTTCTAAAAAAAAAATGTGTTGCAAGCCCCTTTCCGTTCCTCTTCCTTGTTGCAAAACAAGAAAACCAAACATACACAGTGTTTGGCGCCCTCGGTGCAAGGAAACGCTGTGTATGTTTGATTTGTTTGGTTTTTTTGGTTTGAGAATCATGGAAACCTTGTGCATTTTTGGTTTTTTGGGTTTTTTTGGTTTTCGAAGCCCCGACGCTCGCACCAGCCTCCCTCCCAGCACCCTTAGAGCTTGCAAAACCAAAAAAAAAATCCTTGATCCTCAAACCAATATATATATACATATATATACAGCGTTTCCTTGCACCGAGGGCGCCAAACACTGTGTATGTTTGGTTTTCTTGGTCTGAGGCGCATGGAAGGGTGCTGAGAGGGAGGCCAGCGCGGGCATTCGGGCTTGCAAAACCCCCCCCAAAAAAAAACAACAAACATACACAGCGTTTCCTTGCTTCTCAGACCAAAAAAAAAGCATTTCCTTGCACCGACGGCGCCATACACAATGCATGTTAGGTTTCCTTGGCTTGGGAGACGCAGGGAAGGAGGAGGAGGAGGAGGAGGAGGAGGAGGGGGAGGAGAAGGAGGGGAGGAGGAGGAGGAGGAGGGGGAGGAGGAGGAGGAGGAGGAGGAGGAGGAGGAGGAGGAGGAGAGCGACGAGGAGAAACGATCAGTGAAGATTTTGTGGTTTGAGGAGGAGAGCGACGAGGAGAAACGATCAGTGAAGATTTTGTGGTTTTGGTGGTTTGGGGGTGCTGGGGGGGGGCGACCACATATATATATATGAATATATATATATATTCATATATATATATATGTGTATATATACATATATACACATAGCTCGACAACAACCACCACCACAACAACAACAACAACAACAACAACAACCACCACCACCACCAACAACGGCAGCAGCAGCAACAACATCAACAACAAGAGCAACGACAACAACAGCATCATCATCATCAACAACAACGACGACAACGACGACAACAACAGCAGCAGCCGCAGCAGCAGCAACAACAGCAACAACAACAATCAGTTTAAGGCTGTTCGCTCCTGTCTGCCCGCATGCCATCTATCACGTATATCCCAAACCGTCGGTACCCGCCCTCTTCGTCTTCGATCGTACCCCCTTGGGGGCATATCCTCCTTACCTGCCACTTGAATTTAGCGCAACCCCCAACAACAACAACAACAACAACAACAACAACAACAACAACAACAACAACAACAACAACAACAACAACAATCATGTTAAGACTGCTCGCTCCTATCTGCTCGCGTGCCACTCAACACGTATATTCCAAACCCTCGGTACCCGCCCTCTTCGTCTTCGATCGTACCCCCTTGAGGGTATAACTTCTCTACCTGCCACGCGCATTTAACGCAGCCCCTAAAACAGGGGCAGAGAGGACGGATGGAAGGGGGAGGGAGAAGGATGGAGCACGAGAGAAATGAGCAGGACGAGGGCTCGGAGCAGAAAACACGTGGCAGAACCAGACGGGCAGATCGGGCGGGCAGACCCTCGCGGGCGGGTCGGAAACGCGGGCCCAGGCGGCCAGGTCGAGCAGGCGGGTTGCTGAAGCGTGAGTCCTGCATGAATCGCGAGGAAGCCTCGAGAGATAGCGCGATTCCAAAGTAAATCGTGAGAAAGGCCCAATCGAGAGCGTGATTCCTAAGTGTAGAGGGCGAGGCGTCTGAATAAATTGCTAGGAGATCCCACACGAGAGCGCGATGCCTGCATAACTTGTGAGGAAATCCCGCGCGAGAGATCGACGTTGGAATAAATTGTGGGTACTTATCAGGCGGGAGCCGTTATCGTTGTAGTTCGGGGACCAACGACGCAGTTTGAGCACGAAGAAAAAACAGGGTGCGAGCCCCGAGGGGGGCACTTCAACTGAAGAAACACAATGTGCATCGGTGGGGGAATCAATAATTACTATTCTGCAAAAATGAAAATTCAACCGCAACAACAACAGCAGCAACAACAGTCAGCTTAAGACTGTTCGTTCTTATACGCTTGCGTGCCATTCGAGACGTATATCGCAATCCTTCGATACACGCCTTTTTCGTCTTCGATCGTACCCACCTTGTGTGTATATAATCCGTACCTGCCACGTCCCCTAAAATAGGGGAAGGAAGGGGGGAGAGATGAGGCAATGGGGAGGGAGAAGGAGAGAGCATGAGAGAGATTTGCAGGAGAGGGGTCAGGAGCAGGAACACAAGCGGCAGAACGAGACGGGCGGAGCCTAAACGGGCAGGTCGGACGGGCGGGCCCAGACGGCCCGGTCGCGCGGGCGGGTGGCTGAAGCGTCAACCCAACATGAATCGCAAGGAACGTTCGAGCGATAACGCGATTCCCAGGTAATTCGCCAGGACATTCAGAGCGAGAGCGTGGTTCCTGAATTTTGGGAGCACCGCGCCGCAATAAATTGCGATGGAGGACCAGACGAGAGCACGACTCCCGCATAAAATCCGCCGACCCTTTTCCGTTCGTCGTGAACGTCGTCGTCGTCGTCGTCGTCGTCGTCGTCGTCGTCGTCGTCGTCGCCGCCGCCGCCGCCGTCGTCGTCGTCGTCGTCGTCGTCGTCGTCGTCGTCGATGTTCTTCCGTTCGTCGTCGTCGTCGTCGTCGTCGTCGTCGTCGTCGCCGCCGCCGTCGTCGTCGTCGTCGTCGTCGTCGCCCTCCCCTCAGGCGCGCCAGCCAAAGCGAAACCAAAGCGAAATCGAGCAACGTCGCAGCTGAGTCGAAGGCAAAGCGAAATTGAGCAACGTCGTAGCTGAGTCGAAGGGAAGCCCCTTCCCTTTGATCCCTTCCCCGCCGGGGGGGGGGGGGGGGGGGTCCCGGGAGGGGTCCCGGGGGGGGGGGAAGGGGGGGGGGGCAGATACGCATCCCCCCTGGATGTCCCGGGACCTAGAAAAGCCCCCAGACTGGCCAAGAGTGCCCCAAGAGGCTTCCAAGACGGCTCCAGAGGGCCCCGAATCGCCGAACCATCGGTCGAAGACGCCAAAGTAGCCTCCAGACGGCCCAAGAGATTGCCAAGACGCTCCAAGAAGTCTCCAAGAGCACTCCCAAGAGGGCACGAAGAGGGACAAATCAATGATTTCCTTAAAGTTTTTGACAGATTTTGGCGTTCTCGCCGTTTCAACTTGCCGACGCTCCAAGACGGCCCCAGATGCCCCCAAGATTGCCCCAAGATAGCCCAAGAGGC